TATGGTGGGTGCAAGGAGGCTGCAACATCTTGTAAATGAGGAATTCCATAGGAACTGCAATATTAAGGAGATGCACAGAGAAAGGTAGGATTTAGACAAAAAAGATGGTCCAGTTGTGGACTAATTATATACAAACAAGCCATCTACTGCGTGAATTGGAAATAACCAACAGAGGGAAGGCTTAAAATTAAGCAATCCCTTCCCCTAGGGAGTTTGCAACTCATAAAGGGGTTAGAGTTGGTAGATATGTCATGTGCACAGAGAAACACTAAGTATCCACAAAGTAACATATATATTTAACATGAAGAGGACACTAAGCAGACTGGGAGAAGTAGGAGAAAACCCCTAAGCTGTGGCTTGAAGGAAGCTAGGGATTCTAAGAGATGGAGATAGGGAAGTGTCCTAGTTCAGCCATAGACTACCTGTGCAAAGGTAGAGGTGGGAGATTGGGAACATCAAGCAGGCCAGGTCTGCTGGAACAGAGTGTGTGAAGGGGACTAATAAGAACTCATGTTGAGCTTGTGGTCAACCAAAACCCCAAGGTCTTTTTCTCATGAACTGCGGTCTAGTCATGTTTCCTCTATCCTTTATTTGTGTAATTGATTTTTTAAAAACCAAAAGTGCAGGACCTTACACTAATCTCTATTAAATTTTATCTTGGCTTCTGCCTGTTGTTCTAGCTTAGTGAGATCTTTATAGGTCCTGATTTTGTCATTCATTGTGATCTTTTCTAGCCTCATGTCCTCAACAGATTTCTATTGGTTTTTTTTGTTTGTTTGTTTTGTATTTGAGACTGGAGACTAAGCAAGAAGTAGAGTAACTACTCAGGGACTTGATCCTGCTGATAATTAGCAAGAGAAGCTTTGACCTGCTCCATTTTTTAATCTGGGCTGGTTCACCCCAACTTAGGAAGCCTGGTAGTCCTCCAGTTCCCAGGAGCTCACCATATTGGTGCTGGAATGAGTGAGGATACTGATTGGTTTTAGCCAGACTTTCAGCTCAGAACTCTTAAGGTCAGATATTCACTAGCCTCAGACTCCTCCAATAGCAGGGATTACAAGTATGCACTGCCATGTCCAGCACTTTTGAAATGCTTACAAACCACTAGAGTGTAAGCTCTTTGACGGCAGGGATTGTTTTTTGCTCTTTTTGCATTCCCAGCACTTCGCACAGTGCCTGGCACATAATATGCACTTAATAAATGCTTATTGATTGATTGAAGCCATCTATTTAATAGCCTTTCTAGATTTTGCTAGAGATCAGCCTTATATTTGCTGGTCTAAAATGTGTGATACATCCTATTCCTCTTTTTTGAATATAAGACAATGTTTGCCTATATTCTGTCTTTTTGGCACTTCCTATCTTCTCTAAGATTTCTAAAAGATTACTAACAGTTTAGTAATCACATCTGCATGTTTTTTCAGTGCTCTGGGGGGCCATTTAATTCAACGACATGAATTTATTTAGATAGTCTAGGTGATCTCATACTATCTACTTAAAGAAACAAAATTCTTTGTGGCTATGTCAGTCCAGCTGCCATCCCAGCTGTGGGTCTGTTTAAGAAGTGAGGATCAACAAGGGTGGAGTACCCACTAAAGAGCAGAAAGAATTAGCTGACCTAACAATTATACCAGCTGTTGTTGCAAGCTTTTCTCCAGACATGTTTCCTGCTTAATTGTGACTCATTTGTGCCTGAATTCTGGCTCAAATTTCCTAGTGATGATTATTGAGCTTCCATGATTAGGAACTCCTCCTGGATGCCCACCCCAGCCCCATGGCTTTCCCTTGCTTTCTAAGAAACCCTTTTGGATAAAATCACTGCCCTGAACTTGACATTGTCCTAGTACTCCTTAGCAAACTTTTCTCATGGATGTTCCTATTTACACTATCTGTCACTCCACCCCTTCCTCTCCCCCAACTCCCAAGACTGTGCAATAGGTCCATCCTTTTCTAGATTTGGTGGCGCGTTTTTTTTTTTTTTTGAGAAGGTACAGCATAGCTTTAAAAAGTCCTTGTTGTTGTTTTTAGCACTTTTCAGAAGCCTCAGCTATTTTGGGACCTTAATTTTCTTAGCATTCTTTGTTTTGTTTTGTTTTTTTTTTGAGACTGTGCCTCCCTATCTTGCATAGAGAAGAAGTGTAGTGGTCACTCATGATGAGTGGGATTCTATAACTGATTGGCATGTCATATACATACATACAAGTCATTCTTCAATTGATAAACAGTCAAAGGATATGAATAGGCAGTTTTCACAGGAAGAAATTAAAGCTATGTATATATGTATATGTCATACGAAAAATGCTCTAAATCACTATTGATTAGAGAAATACAAATCAAAATGACTCTGAGGTACCACACCACACCTATCAGACTGGCTAACATGAAAAAACAGGAAAATGAAAAATGTTGGAGAAGATGTGGGAAAATTGGAACACTAATGCATTGTTGGTGGAGTTGTAAACTGATCCAGCCATTCTGGAGAGCAATTTGGAACTATGCCCAAAGGGCTATAAAACTGTGCATAACCTTTGACCCAGCAATATCACTTCTAGGTCTATATCCCAAAGAGATCATACAAATGGGAAAAGGACCCACACATACAAAAATATTATAGCAGCTCTTTTTGTGGTGGCAAAGGTTTGGAAATTGAGGGGATGACTATCAATAGAGGAATGGCTGAACAAGTTGTGGTATATGAATGTAATGGAATACTATTGTGCTATAAGAAATGATGAGCAAGCAGTCTTCGGAAAAAACAGGAGTGACTTATATGAACTGATGCTGAGTGAAATGAGCAGAACCAGGAGAATGCTGTACAAAGTAACAGCCACATTGTATGATGGCTAACTTTGATAGACTTAGCTCTTCTCAGCAATGCAAGGATCTAAGACAACTGCAAGAGACTCATGATGGAAAATGCTATCCACATCCAGGAAAAGAACCATGGAGTCTGAATGCAGAGCAAAGCATACTATTTGCTCTCCTTTTCTTTTGTTGTTTTGTTTTATTTATTCTTTCTCATGGTTCTTCCTATTCTAATTCTTCAATACATCATGACTAATGTGAAAACATGCTTAATATGAATGTATAAGTAAAGCCTATATCAGATTACACGCTGTCTTGGGAAGGGAGCAGGAAAGGAAGGGGAAGAAAATTAAAAACTTAAAATCTTATGGAAGTGAATGTTAAAAACTAAAAATAAAAAAAATTATTAACAAAAGAATGTAATGGAATACTGTTGTTCTATGAGAAATGATGAGCAAGTGGATTTCAGAAAAACCTGGAAAGACTTACGTGGACTGATGTCGAGTGAAGTGAACAGAACCAGGAGAACATTTTACTTAACAGCAACATTGTGTGATGACCAACTTTGATAGACTTGGCTCTTCTCAGCAATGCAATGATCTAAGACAATTCCAAGGGACTCATGATAGAAAATGCTGTCCACATCCAGAGAAAATCTTTGGAATTTTAATGCAGATCTAAGCCTACTATTTTCTCTCTCTTTTTTCCTTTCTCATGGTTTTTCTTTCTTGTTCTGATTCTTCTTTCACAACATGACTAGTGTGTAAATATGTTTAATATTATTGTACATGTATAGCCTATATCAGACTGCATGTCATTTTGGGGAGAGGAGAGGGAAGGGAGGGAGAAAAAGATTTGGAACTTGAAGTCTTATAAAAATGAATGTTGAAAATTATCTTTGCATGTAGTTGGAAAAAATAAAATACTATTAAGTGGAAAAAAAGAAAGGTTCCCCTCTTTCTTGATCCATCTTTTTTTTTTTTAGAGGCTCAGGCCATGGGATCGTGCTCCTCATCTCTCTGAACTTTTGGAAATCTGATGTAAAGTTTAGGGTACAATTTCTGGTGTTCCCTTTCTCACCTTTGATGAACTTTAAGGTGCTATGTTCACTTTCTCCCAAGGTCCACATCATTTCCATTTTACCATGCTCTTTTTTTGAGAGAAGGCATAGTGGATAGGAAATTGAATTTGAATTTGGAGGATCTGGGTTCAAATCTTGATCCAGACACTTGACCCTGGGCAAATCACTCATCCTCTCTAAGACTCAGTTTTCTCATCTATAAAATAAGAAATTGGACTTGATATCTTCTAAAGTCCCTTTCAGCTTGAAACCTACTCTTCTTGTCTAGGACGAGTCCTTCAAGTTCTCTGTGCCTCAGTTTCTTCACCTTAGAAATTGGCAAAAATGGCTAGAAGGGCCTCTAGGGTTCCTTGTACCTCTAAAGCTAAGCTCTTACTGAAGAGCTTAGAAAGGCAGGTCCCTTCATTGATTCCTATGTGATAAAGAAAACAGATTGATAAAAATGACTCCAAGTCTTTGATCTTAAATCTAGTAAGTGTTAGAAATGCAAAAGAGATGAAGTTAACTTTTAATTGACCATAACCTTTTAAGAAAATCTTGGCTATCTTCCATTCCATGAGCATCTTAGAGGCTTAGTTAATCATTTTACTCTAGTCATCTTTGACTCCTAGTGCTATTCAAAGCTTTTGCTCAGGCTTACTTGGATGACTTCCTTCCTTTCGGCATTCTCCTTTGACAGTAAGATGAGGCTTTTTTGGGGGGAGAGAAGGGGACTTGATGTTTATACAGCTCTTTCAGGTTTATAACATGTTAGGTAAACATTATCTCAAAGCAGGTCAAATACATTCCAATAGGTGGCAAGACCTTTCTTGCTGTTCTTCTATCCACCTCATCATCCCAAAAAATCGTGTGGAGGAGAAGTAGGGGGGGTCAAATAAACAAACTCTTTCATTTTTCTGCATATTTCTTCTCAACATAGCAAAACTTTCGGAGTATGATTCCTTAGATAACAAAAAATAGTGCAACATATTTTAAATTAGGAGTCATTCATCCATTCATCCAGTCAAGTCCCTAAAGTACAAGCAACATTCACTATGTGAGGTAAAGCATCTATTCCTTAAAATGCAACCCAGCCCTAACCAGGTTAAGAAATACTGCTAGAATAGTAGATGTG